ATAACAACCTCAGTTTGTTCTTTTATTATTCCTTATAAAATGACTAATTGAAGAAAAATTTCATATTCAAACATTATGTGTGTATATATAATAAGAAGTGTCTAAAAAATCCCATTTGCAATCTCTTTTAAATCAATATGAAATGCAGAACAACCTTGAAGACATTCTTTCAGGTTTTCAGCAGTTTGAAAAAGGACAACAAGTCTTTCTATACTTAAGCAAAAGTTTGTCTCATTTATGAAAGAATAATTTAAAATTTACTACAGAAGAGAATGCAATTATTTTATAGAAACTAATTTTTTTTAAAACCTGTCTGAAAGGCAGCAATATGAGGCATAGACATCTGGATGCCACAAGCTCATGTAGAAACACAGTGTTTTGCACAATGATTGGTTGCCTAAAAGCTATTATGAAAATAGAGCAATAAAAGAATTCATATGAAAGGCTATGAATCAAGATTGCAGACAAAAGGAATTGCTACATAAAAGTATTTTCAAAGCATATCAGAATAAAACAGAGATAGAGTTTTCAGAAAGGGGAGTACTGTGATGGATAGGATTGTTAAACAAATTGAAGAAAATATTTTTAGTAATAAAATTTTAATTTGTGTATCTTTATCATTATTGATTTCCATGTGAGTAATATATTCCACAACTATCAGATTTAGTTAGCAGGCTTATGCAAAAACAATATCAACATCAAGAAGAAAAGACACTTGAGGAGAAAGAGGAAGGAGAAAGAAAGGTGCGGTCTCAACAGATCTCTTTAATGTTTCAAACTACATCGAGTTGGAGACTACATATGTATTTGGAAACTCAACCAAAGTCTATTGCTTTGCAGTCCACCATAGAAAACAATAACTAGGATTAATAAGCCTGGAAATCAAACATGAATCCCAAAGGTCCAGACAGTGAAGCCACAGAGTGACTGTGGGACCTGTGGATATCCCTTTCTCATCTGTCAGGAAATCAATGTCAGTGACATGAAGATAAGAAGCAGTATGTCTGCCATATTGTTAACCCAAACTAAAAAATAGCATTCTCTGAACTTGTAGTCACCAAAGATGATGAAATTTAGTATTAAAATAAGATTATATCTAAGGCTAGGGTCTGCAACATTTTCTGTAGAGGGCTGGATTATACACATTGGGCCCTGCAGGCCATATGCTGTCAGTCACATGCAAAGGAATGAGCTCAGTGGTTGACAGTGATACTTCATGTATAAGCCCTGACACCTAAATTCTCCATGACTTTCACATAGTTCCAAGACATTTATCCTTAGATTTATTTATTTTTTTCAGTTATTTAAAAATAGAAAACCATCCTTAGCTAATGGTTCAAACAGAAGCAGGCAGGCATAGTTCTGCCAACCCCTAGTTGAAGGAAACCACCTGAGTGGGGCTGACATTCAAGGCCTCCTTGATTGGCCACCTCTTCCTTCTATGCTTTATGATATAACTGGAATGATCTATTCACTATAAAAAGTACATGTTGTCTGTTTCTGCACATTACACCAGTTGTTCCCTCTTTCTCATATAACTTTCCCATTCCTCTTAGTGGACTCTTTTAGAGAATACCACCTTCTTTATGAATATGTCCATCATGTACTTATCTCAGTAATAGCAGAACACTGTAATAAGAGCTACATATGAACAAGACACTTTGCACAACTGTTTAACATGAATTTCAGAAATGCAAAGTTAGTACTTTGGGATTGTTTAATATTTATGTCTCTCCCAAATTCTTATGCCGAAACATTAGCCCCTAAGGGGATGGTAGAGATGTGATTAGGTTTTGAGGATGGAGAGCTCACAAAAGGTAATATTGTCCTAATACGTGAGACCACAGAGAGTTCTGACTCTTTCTGCCATGGAAGGATGTGGTTAAGAAGGTGATGGCCATCTAGAATACAAGTAACAATAAATGTTAGCAAGGATGGGGGGGAAAGGAAGACTTACACATTGCTGGTGGGACTATGAATTGATGCAACCATTCTGGAAAGCAGTGTGGAGATTCCTCAGAAAACTTAGAATAGAATCACCATTTGACTCAGTTATTCCATTGCTTGGTTTATACCCAAAGGACTTAAAATCTGTATAGTACAGTGACTCAGCATAATAAATGTTTATAGCAGCTCAATTCACAATAGCTAAATTATGGAATCAGCATAGGTTCTCTTCAACAGATGAATGGAAATGTGATGCATATTCACAATGGGATATTACTCAGCCATAAAGAAGAATGAAATTATGGCATTTGCCTGTCAATGATGGAACTGGAGAATACCATGCCAAGTGAAATAAATCAATCCCTAAAAACCAAAGGCCAAATATTCTCTCTGATATGTGAATGCTAACTCACAATAAGGGAATGAGGCTAGGGAAGAATAGCAGTACTTTGGATAAGACAAAGAAGAATGAAGGGTAGGGAGGGGAAATGGAAATAAGAAAGATACTAGAATGAATCAGACATTAATTTCTTGTATGCATATAGGAACACACGATCCATGTAATTCCACGTCTTGTATAACTAGAAGAATGTGGAGTTATACTCCATATATGTATAGTATGCCAAAGTACTTTCTACTGTCATGTATAACTAATAAGAACAAATTTAAAAATTAACATTAAAAAAGTAAAGAAGATAGCCATCTATGATTCAGGAAGATCTCACAAGACCCTGAATCTAACTTGATTTTGGACTTCCCAGCTTTCAGAGCTGTGAGGATCAGTTCTATTCTTTAAATGTCTAGACTATGGTGTTTTTGTTATAGCAGCTTGAACGGACTAATAGGTTGATTTCAATTGATATGAAAATAAGACAGCCAACAGTTCTAGAGAAACCTCAAGAAGTCCATGTTTAGGGGCAGAGACACTAAATGAA